ACTTGCCCGAGGCAGCAGAGGCAGCAGCAGGGGGGCCGTCCACAGAGAGGGCCGCGCTGGACCAGTCATAGAAGACTTTGGGGGCGACCTCTCGTCTTTGCTCCTCTCTGTGGATCAGCCACGACACAATCGGGCCCGTCAAACAACCGGTCATCAAACGAGCTGAACAAACGATAAGAGGATGACACGATTAACAAAGGAGAGAGAGTGTGTGCGCTTCTGTAGCCCACCGATGGCCTGTTTGCGGTCCGTGAGGGCCGTGTATCTGTAGCCCACTTGCAGCAGACCAAATCGGCATATCTGAATGGCCACCATGACATAGTGGACCAGGTTGACCGCAATGACCACCAGCACCAGGGCGATGGCCAAGGAGGTCCCCTCGGGCAGTATGACAACGAATTGCATGACAAACAGCGACATGAGCCACACCAGCAGCCCTCTCAGCTCTGTCAAATTGAGAATGTCCATACTGCCTCGGTCGAAGGGCCACACGGCGAAGTGCAGCGCCAGACACGCTGCGGCGATGACTGTCCAGCCCAGCAGCTGTCTGTTCTCCGAAGTCGCTTGCTGTGCGATAAGCAGCACCAAGACCCGCCTCATCGCAAGCACTGCGTCCCAGTAGAAGAAGTGCTTCCGGTATCCCGTGTAGAGGAAGCCCACTCGCCTCCGCGTGTGGTGGTCCTGTAGACTGTCTCTGTGCCGCCACAGAAACGCCACGCCACATATGACGGGCGCGAAGGTCCACAGCAGCAGACCAGCCACAGCGATCCAGAGGAACGGCGCGTGTTCGGCCGACCGGCATATGACGTGTGGATCGAGGTCCATCCGGGGCCTTGGGTGGTCCCTCGGGTCAAAAGGCAGCCGACTGACACCCTCGCCGGGGGCGATAGGGATCACATCCGTCACATAGGGATACCATCGGCAGCGCAGGAGGGCCAGCATACTCTTGGTGACGGTGGGGTGAATGAACGTGAGAATCACGACCATCATGGTGCCGCGGTCGTCGAGCCACTGCCGCCATCGGCCGCTCTTGCGGGGCTCCGCCAGGGAGTGCTGGCATGAGGCGGGCGTCTCTGGCTCGGTTGCCGACTCCTGGAATGTGACTGCTCGCTGGTAAGGACCCTCTGCGGTGGCCTTGTGTGCCTTTCCGTTGGTGACCGATGGCGGCGCTGAGAGGGCTCGGAGGTAGGTGTCGGTGGCGAATGAATCGTCGGTGCCGATGCGCCGCTTCGACTTGAGTGCGTCGCGCAATTTATCAAACCCACTCGCTGCACTCGATGACACGACAGGAAGGAGAAATGACCACAGTCCATCGCTTCTCTGGTTGAGTGCATTAGTCGCTACCAATGAGAGGCACAGCAGTGAGCCAGATCAGCGGTAGCCCCAACCACACAGAATGGCGGTAGAGCACACATTTGTCGCCCACGTATGGCCGCAACAGACACTCCCACACCTGACAGGACAGGACGGCGGATGGCACGGCGGACATGTTTGAGTGTTTTCTTGCACATGTCCACCTGATAGCTTTGCGGAACACCGCCACTCCATCCAAAGAACGAGCTGATCAGCCAGGATATCTGATCGCCCCAGAGGGACTCGTCGAACACGAGAAAGGCCAGCCCACATACCTGCACACACACATGCGCACACCGGTGGGGGACGTCCTGCGAGCGATGTGAGTGCATTGCGTACGGCGGTGATGTGCGATAGTCCGATTTTGGTCAGTTGGGAGGGGACCTCAGCCCTCTGTGTGGCCGCGGCGCTGAATGTGTGACGCCACGCACAAACGAACAGAACACAGCCATGCAGACAGACGAGTTGGCAGATGACTATGCGCCTCACACCAGCCGACCGTTCAGCGAGTGCCGTCAGAATGAAGATGGCCAGCAGCGTGGCGACGACAAGCAACACGTTGACCACGACGATCTGCCAAAGGGCCGCACATGGGGCGCACGGCTGCTGGGGCGTCTGGCGCGAGAAGCCCCTTTTGCACCGATTGCACACAAAGCCCTCATGGCCCTCCTGGCACACAGACGATGCACAGACATGTCACAGTGGTGACGGCCTGGGAGAAAGGACAGCTGTTGGCTCTCACCGAGCATATGTTGAGTCCAGATGCCTTGTCAGTGCCTTTGCACGACGCCGGCAATGGGCACGGTATGACTATGGGCAACTCAGTCAAACCGGCGCCATACCTGAAAGCGCAGACGGCACCATACCGAAATGCCTACTTGCCCCTCAGTCCTGCTTCTTACGTCGTCACTTCTCGTGTGGCACTGGGGGATGCGCCGGCCGACTGCAGGCGGGCAGTGAGTTGGAAGAACCTTGGCAGCACACTCGCATTGTAGTTGATGGGGACGGAGCAGTCCAATCCCTCCTGACAGTCCTGGCAGATCCACCTGCTGCGACTTCCGTCACTGCCGGCATTGCGCACGCCGACAGATCCCGCCGTGCATGGCTCGCAGGGCTCGTTGCCCCTCTTCTCGTAGCCAAGACGACAGGAACAGGCAGCCGAGCCCTCCTCAGAATCTGCCAACCACACTCGTAGACCAACAGAACGCAGATTGGGTGTCTGTTCGTGTCGGCGCTCACCTGCGTCATCGGGGCATCGCTGGCACGATTGTGTGCCGACCTGTCTGTTGCTGTGGGTGCCCGCTGGGCACATGGTGCAGGCCTTGCCCGTGCCGCTGTAGCCAGGCAGACAGCGGCAGAGCTTCTCCTCAGCCACGCTGAAGTCGACCATTATCCAAGTGTTGCAGAGGGTGGTGCACTCGTAAGTTGAGTTGGACAGGCCTTTCGGGTCTCTCTGGGGGACGTACGCTGCACACAAAGACAGACACATTAGGCTCTCCGTGAATGTTTTCCCTCACCAGCAGGGTTTGGCACCAGTGTGTCAGCGGAGACGTTCTTTAGGCTCAACACGTCCTCACAGCTCTGCAGGCAGAACAGAGTAGACATCCAAACACGGCGGGCCTTCATGTCATGGCCTGATCCACGTGACCCACCTGTATGTCCAGGCTGTCATCGATACGGTCGATTCTGAGATTCGGGTTGCCATCGATTCTGACGTCCAGACCGGCAAGCCAATCACCGCGGACGCTCTCGAGAGCGTTTGACGAGAGGTCAGCACGCGCCAGATTCCTCAGCCGCAACTCATCCAGGGCGACAATCGAGTTGTGGCTGAGGAGGAGCCGCGTAAGAGAAACGAACCCCGGGCGCAGAGTCGGGTAGGCGGCCTGCACACATTAACACAAGGAGAGGGTGATGTAGGGCTGAGCAGAGTCTGTGTGTGTGCATATTTCCTTACAACGGATCTTTCGGTGAACTCTGTGTTGCCATATCTTGACAGACTACTGCGGTCATAGAAGGTCACCGAGTCGCTGAGGGAAAGGGGAATAGTGAATGCATCGATATACGTGTCTGCCTCAACCCCCTTTACCAGTCCAGGCGCCCCGTGAGACCACAGCCAGCGCAGCTCAAAGTCATCAGCCTGGAAACAGACAAGAAGCACATCTCCCACATCAGACCCGACGGTGAGTGTCTCTTCTTCTCACGTGTTGAGCTCGCGGAACGTCTGCATAAAGTCTCTCACTTCAACGCCCAAAGGATTGCCCGAAAAGTCGGCCTGCAAAATCGATATATGTCAGCAGCTCACATGATGACAGTGCCGCTGCTGAGTGCCCTTCGGTGCGGTGCCCACTCACACGTTGGATGACCGGCCAGTAGGGAGGCGCCGGCAGTGCCAGCAGATAAAGGGTGATGTGCGGCGTGACTGCCCAACAAATACAAAGCAAGTGACAAGCGATGCAGCCCGAAGGAAAATGAGAAGCACAAACACACGTACTGCGAGCATTCGCCTGACAAAATCGTGCAGGAGTCCTCCCCCACGTCGGCCATCCGGTGAGCTGATTGCCCTTGAGAAATATCTCCTCCAACGCAGGCATGCTGTTCCAACCTTCCGGAACTGACGTCAGCCGATTGAACTCCATGTTCAACGTGACCAACCTGCAGGTGAGAGCGTGAACTTGCGACAACATGCACTGTCCGTGTCATTCTCTGCCCGTCTGCATACCCTTCTGGCATGGTTCCGTTGTCTGTGAAACCTTCGATCTGGTTGTCGGCCAGATACAGCTCTCGGAGAGCTGATGCGTGGCCAAACGGAGGGAGGCGGCCTTGAATGGCGTTGCTGCGTACGTCGATGAAAGAGACTTTCTTCCAGCCGTCGATAGACGGCGGCAGAGCTGTCAATCTGAAGGCATAGATACACAGAGTGTACAGAGCACGTGTCCACAGCGTGTGGCTAAGCCGACCTGTTGACCGCTCCGTGGATTTCCTGCAGCTCAGTGAAGCTGCCGAGCTCGGCGGGCAGTGGGCCTTCCAACTGGGCAACAGGCAATGGTTGAAAGATGTATTGAAAGTTCGACTGCTACATCTGCGTCAGGTCAAACTCACCTGGTTGTATCCGAACATCAGTGTCTGCAGCCGCTTCATCGACGCCAGCGGCCGTAGTGTACCGCTTAGATTATTGCTGTCGAGTCTCAAGTACTCGAGCGCCGTGAGTTGTAACCAGGACTCAGGCAAGGGGCCTGAGAAGTTGTTGAACCGAAGGTTGAGAGTATTCAGTTTGGTGCAGTTGCCGAGTGACGGTGGAAGAGGCCCCGACATGCCCTCGCCGTCCTGCGCATAGACGTCCAGCCGCCTGAGCTCCTTGGCTTGCCCGAGAGAGGCAGGGAGTGGACCAGTCAGCTGACAATGGGAAGGAGGACACACAAGAAGACACCGATCACCTTGTTGACTCTCCTCTCGATGCTTGCTTACTCTATTGCGGTAGACAGACACCCAAAGGAGGTCCGGCATGGCCGCCCCAAACCCTTCAGGTATCTCACCAGACAGGCTATTGGTGTTGAGCTTCAGAAGCCGCAACTCGCGCAGTTTGGCCCAGAATGGAAAAGGCGGAAAAGGCCCATCTAGGTTGTTCTTCGAGAGGTCCAGTATGGTTAAGCGGGTGAAGTTCCCAATGTAAGGCGGCACTGGCCCGGTGAGGCCGATGGCCTCGAACCAGAAGATCTCCAAGTTGCGGCACTCAGCGAGGCTCTCAGGCAGCCGACCATTGGTCGCTGTTAATCCCCCGTGGCGCGATATGATCACGCGCATTTTTGTCAGCCGGATGCAGAAAGCTGAAGGCAGGAAGCCCTCAAACTTGGTAAAGGACAGAGTGAAGATTTCCAGCGCTGAGAGATCAAGAAGAGATGTCGGTAGAGGGCCTCCCAGGACAGGTGCATTGGTATAGTTCTGCCCCTCAAGCATGAGTGCCTGCAAGTTGCTCAGGTTGCCAATCGACGATGGCATTGGGCCAGAGAGCTCCGTCTGACACCATACACCACAGAAAAAGCAAACCAGACAGCAGCACTGTTGACTGCGTGACATTATCTTCCTGTCTGTCTTTCTCTCTTTACCGAGTGTATATCGATGATCCTGATTGAGGTCATTTCTCCTAGTCTTTCGTCCAGCTGTCCAGTGAAGGGCATCTCAAACAGAAACACCACCAGCACATCCCGTAAGTCATAGAACGATCGGCTGAGTGTCAGCTGAAGCCCTATACGCGCTGCCACTTTCTGAGGCAGTGGCGACACATCGCTGAAGCTCATCGCCCCGACCAGCGCCAGGACATAGCCTTCCTCATCTGTCGCCTCGTCTCGGATACAGACGATGAAGGACGTGGCACAGACGTTTGCTTCGAGAGTGCTGTCCGTGTCGTTGGGTAGCACAGAGAGAAGCCCCGACTCATCCACAAACTCCCTCAGCGCCCCGGCGTCTTGCTGGCACGAAGCGCACTCGACAAGTTCCGTCAGGTTCTCTAGGGGCATGATACGAAAGGCGTACTCGAGAGCGCCACTGGGAGTGATCTGCGAAGTACGTACGCCACACGTGCAAATGACGCACGTCTTACCCATGAATGTCAGGCAGACAGGCTGCATGCACTGTAACTGCTTACGGTGTGCTGTGACTGAAATTGGAACCTGAATACAGACGCGCCACAGGCATTGCTGTGTATTATGTATTCCGAGATCGTTGACCTGCGAGACAGTAGCTTCCACTTCTCTGGCGTGTGCCATGACGACGTGTTGAGAGGCGGATCTGCGGCAGCGGCATAGAAGACGGCGAGCACCGACAGCAGCCGATGATGAAGGTGGAGGTAACCCATCAGACAGACTTATCGGCCACTTCATTCAATCATTGGCCGAGGATCTTTCCAGCTGCCTGTGTGTGAGTACTGATCAGAAGTGCTGGGGTGTAAAAAGGTCACGGGGTCCATTTTTCTGTGAAAGCTAACCCACTTCAAGCTCGCACTCGAGTTCGGCCGCATTGCCGCTTTTATTGCAATATGCCACCCTCGGCTCCGTCTTGTCATCGTGGCGGCGGTACTGCTTGTGTCTGACTGCCAGTCCCTTTCTCACTACCATGTCCGCTTCACCCCTGTGGCAACGCTCGTCACTGCAAGCGGTAAAAGCAGGCGCCCCACCAGACACCGCCATGGCACAACCCCAGAGCAATATATGTGTTGTGTGATCGATGTTTTAATGGATGCCTGCGTCCGTCTGTCTGTCTGTCTATCTGTCTATCAATCTGCCCGACGTGTGTGTGTGTTGTGTCTCATATGTGGATGAGGTGTCTCTGCCAGCACTCTCTGACTGTTTGTATGGATAAACGTGTGTGTGTGGCGCTGTGTGTGCAAATCGGGCCTGTATTTGTGAGTCATGCCTTGTTGGACCTGAGACTCAACAACTTCACTGAGACTTATTGACACCGCTTCTCTACTGCAAATCCAAGCAAATCCAAGCAAACCCAACGGAAAAAGTGCACACACACAGACACAGAAACTGCGTTCTCTGCTGGAAGCCACGTAGACAACCTTAGGGCGTTGCAGTTTGGAGCGCTCGGGCCCTTCAGGTCTCCCTCTCGGTGTCCTCATTGACAGAGCATTCCAGAGGAGCCAGCGAGTCAACCTCATAGATGAAACGTAGCCGTCTCATCATCTTAACTCTTCTGCCCCGCGTAGGCTCGGTAGCCCTTCAAGCGATAGAATGATTCAAAGTCGTCGCCTTTTCGCTTCCTCCCGATGGCCTCCACAAGGTAGTCCATAATGGCCTGCGGCTCGGTCGCCAACCAAAACATCCGCTGTGGTTTGAAGTAGAGTCTCTTCTCCGTGTCACGACTGCCATCCGCCCACTCTGGGTCGAAGAAGGCAATGTTGACGACAAGCCATGACGCCCCATCCGTGATAAAGCCGTGCGTCATCCCGTCAGCCAACAGCCTCTTCAGAAGCTCCCCCTCCTGCCGCCAGCCATTCAGGGGGCCGGGAGTTGTGATGACAAAGAGGAGCCTCTCGTCTTCGCACTCCAATATGGTGTAATGGACTTCAGATACTTGAGAGCGGTCATCGTCGTCATTCATGTTGTATGCATCAATGACCTTCCTGATGCGAAGGCCGGTCTTGCGAAGCTGGTCCAGTAAGGGATAAACGAGGTTGTAAAACAGGTTGGCCGCAAGCGACCGAATGGTACCGCACGGAAGAGATCTGCTGTGCTGGAACTCGTCTCTGATCAGGCCAAGGGTTTCATCGTCGAGTACCACTCGAGGGAGGTCGCTTTGATGGCTCTCAGCTGAAGAGGAGTGTACAGTCTGCATACACAATCACAGATGCATCAAGCCAGATCTAGATGTCCGTGTGTCGGCCTTGCTGTTGTGGTATCATCTTTGGCCCTTGCTGCACGACGCGATGGAGCTGATTTCCCCCTGAGTGCTCCACGGTGTGGCCACGGCGGCACGAACAGGCTCTGAGGGATGGCTGGATCACGAAGGGCGTGGCCATGCGGGATCAAGTGCGGGAGGACGACCGCCGCAACGACACAGAGCCAACACGACCGGACCATCATCCAGGGAGATGGACTCGTTATCGAGGCTGTCTTCCCACATTTGTGGGCCGAGCACATTGCCTACTCTAAGATCAGTTGTGCCGCTCCTGGAGTTATGGGCATAGGGTGTGTAATCCATTACACGGAGGTTCACAGCAACCGCTGTCGTTTTCGAGATGAAGGGAGAAGGGAAGGATGCAGAGAAGGAGCCCGAGCCCAAGGTGGCGGAAGACAAGAAGATCAAGCCTCCACGCACCTTTGCCGGCGACCTGGGGATAAGCCTTGAGCTGATTCACAATGGCATCGTTACGAAGGAGGTGCGCCTCGTCAATCGTGCCCTTCGCAACATCTCGTGGCAGCGCCGGCGAATGGGCGTCGCCGACTTGCTCAAGATGGTCAAACTGGTGCTCAAGAACACGCCATACAAGGAGCGGCTCGTGGGGATGCTGGAGGGGCAACAGCAGGTATGTGGTGGCAATGTGGGTGGCGGATTACCTGTGAATGCTTTGCTCTATTTCTGCGTTTCTGCTATGCATATCAGTCTGAGGATGTCGAGATGGCCCCACCCCCTCTGCCGAACGGTGTGGCTGCCCCGTCGTCACACAGTCCTTCGCCATTCCCCTTCCACGAACACCACTTCGACATTATCATGCCTGAATGTGAGATCTATCTCGGCATACTCGTCGTCACGCATTTCGTCGACAAGAAGCTGACTCAAAAGGTCAGGCACGCGCGTTGCTATGATGCGGTTGTGTGACTGTGTGGCTGTGTGCTTTTTCCAGGCCGTGTCAGGAGCCGATTTGGTTGTGAGTCGTGCCAAGTCGTACAACCGACGGTCTCTGGACCCTCTGACCGCACGGGTGGGCACATGAACATGCCATTCAAATGCATATCTTCTCACCTGTCATGGGGCGGCTCTGCAGGCATACTTTTGTTTGTCTCGTGCGTACGAGCTGGATGGGCGCCTGTCAGAGATACGAGAGTAGGAACCAACATCAAAAGGTGCCATGTACCGGGTGTCCGTGTGCGTGTGCGTCCGTCCTATGTGGCAGGGATTTGATGGCAGCGTACCGCACAGCGTCGCTACATCATGACCTTGTGGGACAGGTGACGTCATCCTTGCACAGTGGTCACCTCTTCAGCCTCCCCGGCCTTTGTGTGTGTCCTCAGGCCACTCAGTTGAACCTACTGCTGAGAAATTACCTGGCATACAACTTGTACGAGATGGCGCTCAAGCTCGTGTCCAAGACAACATTTCCTGAGAATCTGCGATCCAGTGCGCAGTACGCACGGTACCTCTTCTATATCGGTCAGCAGCCACAACACAAAGGCATCACATCATCACCACACGCGCACGCACGAGTCGTTCCCTACTTTCAGGCCGCATCAAAGCTGTCCAGCTGGAGTACTCTGACGCCCACGGCAAGCTCACCACCGTAAGCCTGCAGTTGGTGCCATTGGAAGCCCACTTACCCATTCATATATTGTTCGTGTGTCCCATCAGGCAATCCGCAAAGCTCCCCAAGGCCCCAAGACTGCGCGGGGATTTCGCTTGGCGGTCAGACACCGTGTGACACTGTCACTTGACACTGGATGCGACTTCCATTGTTGATGTGGTTGTGCGTGGTGTCAGGCCACCAAGATGGCGATTGTTGTCGAGTTGCTGATGGGTGACATCCCTGACCGATCCACGTTCAATCAGGAGGAACTCAAGAAGTCCCTCTCTGCCTACGAGGCCATCGTTCAGGTGACCCTACGACGAGGCAGACAAGATGGCGCTCGCCTGCACCCTTCGCCTCTCCTTGGTTGCCTTGCCCCCAGGCTGTTCGCACAGGTGACTTGCATTCGTTCAAGAATGTCATGGATTCCAACGAGGACCTGTTCAAGAGGGACGGGACGCTCTTTCTCATCCGCCGGCTGCAGTCCAACGTCATCAAAGCGGGCCTGCGGCTCATCAACCTGTCCTACAGCCGAATCTCACTTGTGAGGCGAATACGGAGAGGAGGGCACAGACGAGATGACACATATTGAGAGTCGATAATGAAAGGTCGTGGCTCGCATCTGTTTGTAGGCTGATGTGGCAATGAAGCTGGGACTTGATTCGGCTGCTGATGCGGAAGGAATCGTTGGCAAGGTACTCCCTGCAAAGAGGCAAGTGTGTCGATTTTCATGTTGACCTGTCCTTTCAGGCGATTCTGGACGGAGTCATCGAAGCGTCAATTGACCACGACAAGCAATATGTGCAGAGCAAGGTGATTAGTTCACATACTGGGCAGGTAATAGCAGTGGCACGTTTTGCTCTCGTCTGTGTAGGCCAATACTGACGTCTATGCTTCCGATGAGCCACTGAAAGCCTTCCACAAGCGCGTATACTTCTGTCTCCAGCTTCACAACGATGCTGTCAAGGTGTGCAGTCAGAATGACGTGGGCTCAAGCATTGCAATGGTGTGTGTGGTCATTGCAGGCAATGCAGTACCCGGACGAGGTGGGCTGTGAAGTAGTTTGTGAGCATAGTGACATCATCCTTGTGGCACGGATGTGTGCATGTGTGTTTCTCAGAAGACGGACGATGCCGAAGAAGCCGAGATACGACGGCAGAGAGAGAAGGAGATCCTGGCACAGGTGCAAATCGATGGGAACGCGTGTGGTGTGCGGAAAATCATGTGCCATTTCTGCCAGGCCGGCGAGGAGGAGGGTGGCGACGACATGGACTTCTTCTGAGTGTCACACCTTAGCCTTTCCCTTGTTGCCTGAAGAAAGGAACCACGGGATCGTTGCGCTTTTGACATGAAGCCCTTGTTGAATGAACCTCGATGACATGAAGCCCTTGGTTCTTCTCTGTGCGCCTGAGAAGCAGTGCTCGATGCAATTTGACTCCACCCCGTCATACATACATGCATGTATGATCAATGTGGGTATGGATGTGATGTCGCTTTGCATCACAAAATCTACCAAAAGACAAAAGTGCATGAGTGCACCAGCGGTGGTGGCGTGGTCCTTTCGTGGACCGCTCCTGACGATCGCAAACGTAGACTAGAGTTTGGCCCGCGCACGCGCGGGCGTTCTGGAAAGCTGTATCAGGGAGCTGACCCGCGCAGCAGCGGTTCCAGGGAGCACCCGCGCACTGTGCGAGCTCAACACAGGACCGCTCTGCGAGTCGAACCCGCGAGTCCCTGTACCCCCGCTGCACGCAGCCTCACCATTGCGCTATGTGCTCATCGGGCGGGGTGAACCGCTCCCGGGTGAAACACATTTCCGCTCCGATCTCCGCACCCGCGCCTCCCCGGACCCCAGCTGCGAGGGAATTTCCCGCAGCGTCTAACACGAAAAGACGGGGGTTTAGAGTCGCCCTGTACGGGCTGAATACGGGACCCCTCTGCGATTCGAGCCCGCGACTTCCTTCACTCTCGCTGCACGCCTCAACCACTGCGCTATGTGGTCCTCAGGTGGGGTGATCGCTCCGCGCGCGAAACACATTTTCGCTCCGACCTCCGCACCCGCGCCTCCCCGGACCCCAGCTGTCGAGCACAGGCAGCGTGGGAATTTCCCGCAGCGTCTAACACGAAAAGACGGCGGTGGTCTGTGGGTGGTGGTGGGTGATGGCGAGCTTGAATTGTAGTGGAGTATAGAGGGATAGTGGAGTATAGAGGGATAAGTGGTATCCTGAGCGGTTCCGTTTCACGAAATGCCTTTAACATGCACTTGCCAGGGTCTCGTCCTCTGCTGCCGTTGTCAACACAAATCATCAACGATTCCATTGTCGACGCTGTCGGGTTGCCACCCGGTGAACCGCCTCCACAAATGTCATGCGCTGTCCCACATCGGTGAGTTGAGGCACTGCCATGATCTCACGCATGTCGTGGACCGTTGGGTTGCTCTCGATCGCTTCTGCACACAAATGAATGATTCATGTTTTGCGATCCATTCATGCACTGCTTGCTTGTCCCTCTGCTTGTCTGCAGGTTGATTGAGTTGCTGTTTGCTCCCAGGTAGAGTCAGCCGTAGTTCCTACCATGCATGTACCTAAGGCGAGGGGGGAGGGAGGGAGAGAGGGAGGCGGCAGGGATAGCACTCATCCACGCACCCATCTGCCTGTCATCTGCCTGTGTGTGTTGGTGTGTGGGTGGCAGGCAGATCCGTGGTGAGTGCGACCATCCAGCATGACCTCGGTTGCATCACCATGTGTGATGTGTGTCACCCTCATGTATCTTGCATGTTTCTGCCTGTTTGCGTTCCTATTTATTTGCGCAGGATGGATGCCGGGTTCGTTGTACTTGTTGGTCATCCTGGAAGGATGGCTCTTGTGTTGCGTGGCTGAGAGGGCAGTGCCGGCATCATTGGCATTCCTGCACCGCTACACCCCGACCCACATCGGTGCGGGCCACCGGGCCACCGCGACCACAGCACTGCTGACTGGCGACGCCTGGGGCGGCTCGAGACAACCACAAGGCTGCTGCCTTTGGATGGCCTTTGTAGGTCCACGTCGTTGTCTAGATGGGAGGGGTGGGGCGGGCCAGCCAGCCAGCCAGCCAACGAGAGAGGCGGGCACTGAGTCATTCACTCAAGTACTGTCTGTCTGCCTGCAGATGCCGTCCGCGGCAGGAGTGATGTGGAGATCAAGGCCGCCGACCTGATCCGCGTCGGCAAGCTCACCAGCCCCACTGACCGTGACCCCACTGGCGTGCCCAGCGTCATTCTCAGCCCCGACCAGAAAGTACCCTACGTCGGCCAGCCTGCTCTGGAGGAAATCGGCAAAGAGCTTCTCCGCCAGTGTGAAACGATAGATGGGGACCGTGGGGGACCCTACAGGCGTGTGCCGCCGACCGCTATCAGCCGCTTTTCGTATGGAGGCAAAACGCGAATGATCAAGGAGCTGGCTCTGAGTCTCCAACAACATGGCATTCCCGCTCTCTTCATAACGTTCAACGAGTTTACCAAGCCGAGTGTCTTTGAGCTCGACAACAAGACACCACTGGAGTCCATTGGCTTGCGAATAGCCTGGGCTACTGCGACGCCTGAGGCTCTCGAGAGAGTGGCAAAGGCGTCAGACAAGGCAGCCGCCGACCTGACATTTGCTGACTGGGTCGAAAATGTGTCGGTCAGCTCCAGGAGCATCGAGGAATGGCTTGGCACCCACCCTCTCGCGCTCTTCGTCGATGAGCTCAACCTGCGCATCCCCGAAGACACTGACTTCGAGAAAGCGCGGTCAGCAAAGGACTTCGATTTCTTCGTCACCAACAATTTCCTCAACAAGCGTCACCGTTGCTTCGTGTTCTCGAGCCACGTCTTCACACTGGGGGACAATCTGGAGAAGTACTACTACAAGTTCGGCGGCCGCAGGGTCTTCCGGCCAGAGATTCCGAGAGTCCAGAAGCTGCCCGATGTGACCGAGAGCGGCCTCTGCCCAGACGTGCATGCCGGTTTCGTGTGCTGGACCGGCCGGGCACCATCGTTGCTGGCGCTCATGTATTCGGAAGAGCGACCTGCCCCCGACGAGGTCAAAACGATCTTCCGCAAAGCCAAGCGCCCTCCTCTCAACGCAGCCCTTGCGCAAGATGTGGTTCGAACAGCCGTCGAGGGCGACGTCGAGCGGGCGGGTGGTCTGGGGACGTGGTCGCGCTTCATCGACGTCTTTGACTCGTCATGTTTGTGGCCGCCCTGCTATCTTGGGCTGGCGTGTAGGGCGTCAGGGTTTGAAAATGAGGTCAAGTCGGAGCTCGGAGAAGGATTTGCCTCTGGTCTGAGGGTAATTCCCACGCTTCTCGACCAGCTTCTACTCGACAGGGGGTCCGGGAAGAGATGGGAGGGCGTTGCCGGCGCAGGAATACTTCTCAGGCTCCTCCATTCTCACCTGGTGGCCGTCGGACTCGCAAAAGCAGACTTGAGCAGCGCGGCGGCCCAGGTGATCCCCGCTGCAGTCAACGATGGATGCAAGTTTGGGGGTGTCATCCAATTAAGTCCGCCGGAATCGGTGAATGATCTCATCATCAAATTCCACGACAAGATGGACCCGACACTCCCAGGAGAGCCCTCCGTATCTTATTTCGTCAAGCCGCGTTACTCGAGCTTCATCGGCTTCGACTTCTCCGTTTTTGTGTGCGAGAGAGGGCGCTTGACGACGATATACGGCTTCCAGTGCAAGGAGGGACCGACAGGCCTCGACAAAGACTCCGTCGGTCTCATCAAGCGCAGTGTGTCTGAAGCGCTCGCATCACTGGCGCCAATTGGGGATGGGTCTGATGCGGACAAAGGCGATGCCGGCAAGCCTGCGGAGGTCGATGTGTGTGCCATCCGGCTGCGCGGTGATCAGAGCCAGGAGGTGAAAAGACAGCGATTGGACAAAGTAATCAGCGTGCCATCACGTGCCTCTCTTCGAGAGGTGTTCGGTGTGTCCGTCGCGCAGACGTGTCCCTTCGAATGGGTGTCGGAGGAGGAGGAGGAGGAGGAGGAGGAGGGGGACGACGCGGGAGGGGAAGGGACAGCGGCTTAGACTGACTGTGTCACTCATATACCATGAAACTTAAGCTAAGTGATTTTCATTTGAAACCGACTGACTGTGTCACTCATATACCATGAAACTTCTCCTACTCTCCTTTACCCTTTCCGTCGGACGGAATTTTCCGTGTGCATGTCTATGGCTGCATATTCAATGCGTGTCGCGCACACCACGAGTTTTTCGGTTGGTTGAGAGCGCGGGACAGAGGTATGTGTGCGGATGTGGTCCGATGTGTGTTTGCGGTGATGTTCAAATGATGTTAATGAAAGAGGGGCGTCTTCTTCATCAGACCGACATCGCAGGTCAAACATCAGAGACCCAACTTTTTGAGCAGACCCCGGCCTTGTCGGGGGGGGGAGGGGTTGAGCCGCTTGCTCCAGCGCCTTCTCTTGTATGAATCACAGGAGCCTTTCCTTTTTTCTCTCGAAGCCAATCAAAACGACAGAAATCTGTCTGTTCTGAGACTCTCGCTCTCATAAAAAATCCTAAGATAGCTGCGAGACTCGCGGATGTCTCCGACTGCATATGATGGACTTATGAAGTCTACGTGATCGATGCGCTGAACAACACGGCGTTGTTGAACACGCTGCCACAACAAGAATCAACCAAGCGAAGTGAAGGTGACTCTCAGAGCTTTCAATTTGTTTGTTTTGGCTACAAGCCGCTGGATCGTCTTCCTCGTCTTCTTCGTTTGGCCCCAGAGAATGAGGAGGCTTCAATAGCGTCCCTTTCTCTTCGTTGTGGCGGAGAAGCGCCCCGCTCTCCCACTCGCGGAAAACGGCCATACTTATGCCAAAAATCAAGTTCTATATACCGCCGAGACACTTGGAAAAACAGAAAACATTGATGTATGGATATGTCTGCCTTCCCAGTCTGTCCCTCTGTCTGTCTGTCTGTCTGTCTCTCCGTCCCTCTGCCTCTCTTTCTCTCTGTCTCTCTGTCTCTGTTCTCTGTATGTTTTATGTGTAGGTGTATTATGTGGTGTATCCGATATGATGACGGATGGGTTGTCATGCTTGCATAAATGTATAATGTATGTATTTTTTTGGCGCGTAGTGCGAGTATGTGTGTGCGTGGTGGGCGGCGCCGCTGGAAGATACGCCAGGCGGGCGCTGAGGATGCTGCTGGCATGTTTGTCGCATGATTGAGAGTTGGTCGATTGACGCAGTTCATTTCATGAGAGACCGACAGACTCTGCCTGCCTGCCTGCCGTTGCGCTATGAGCTAATGTATATAATCAAGGCATACCGATGTATGTTTTTGTGTGTTGTGGCAAGTAGTGGCATGTGGCCGTCCTTGAGCGCCATTTTCCTCCAGGATGCCTCCTGGCCGGGCCTTTGCACTGTCGGCGAAGGCTGTCCGTCTCGCGAAGACTGTCCGTCTCAGTGCAAATGATGGCAGGCCGGGGCCTCCTTCTCGGCTGATGCATATGGTTGGCCAGACCAATGACAAGAGGATCACAGCCGAAGCCACCCACATGTCATTGACCGAGCCAGAACGGTCACAAAGGCAACTCGTGGAACCACGCGTCGCTGCATGGCTCCCATCGATTTAAATCGTTCGTTCGTTCGTTCGTTCGTTTGTTAACGGGCACCGAGGCCCCGGCCCCTGAGGGCAGATGGTGTGTCCGATCAATGCGTCTGTAATTCTGAAGTGGCCAGCGCTCAGATGAAAAATCGGCCACTGCTCGTTCTTGAAAAGAAAAGCAAGATAATCGATGAGCCTGTGCGTCCATCTGTGTTTGCATGAAGGTATCTGTCTGTCTGTCTGTGTGTGTGTGTGATGTGCCATTCCGCTGGGCCAGGTCCTGGGTGGAATTCATGCAAGTCAAACGTCGGTGTACGTGTCCTCATCCGTCGAGTCGCACCTGGCGTTATCTCAAGAGAAGACATCGACAGGCACACACTGTCAGAGTTGTGCACATCGAATCGACTGTCTTTACACAACTCGCTCCGACACACCAGCCAGTGTATGCAGTAAGTTGATGGAGCATCAGTCAGTCAGGATATGTGTGCGTCTGAGCGGCACAGACGTGCTCCTCTGCACACTGTCCAACTACTCCTCCTCGCCTTTGGCCGGCGGATCGACCGGAACGACAAGAAGCAGAGAGACAAGCTAAGATGGGGCGCTGGATGGACATCAAACCCACAAAGGCAGGCATCGCATGCAACACTTGGCGCCGGGCACAAACGTGAATGTTCCCTTTGTACACCCCCTGCACACACGCCACCAGCCAGTACACCCATCTAGTCAACCATCTCATTGCTACTATGGACACGTGAGAAATAGTCAGTGATCAGCCGCTGGCCCTCCGTGACAGGCAGCCCCTCCCGACACAGCTCAACACTACAAGGGCCTGTTTGCACAGCGACGAACCCGCAACGGCTCAGCCGCCTCCCTACGGCACCCTTCCCACCTGTGTGTAGCAAACCCATGGGGAACTCGCTGTGTGCTCGGAGTGTGATGCACTCTAGGTTAGGCAGGGTGCTGATGGCCTTGATGCACGTGTCAAACAAATAGCCGAAGGCCTCCCTGTCTACCCGTGGGTTTAGGGGTTTAGGGTTCAGGCCATCCTCCTCTGCGTCCTCTGGCTCATAGTCAGCCGAGAAAACCACGCTGATGCGACGGATGCGACGCGCGATTCCCCCACTACCTCCCTCCTTGCTGCGCCTCTCTGCTGTTCCCACTGACATCTCCTCCCTGGTGCCGCTGCCTGCATTCTTGTCGCCCCCATCTGCCTTGCCCACAGGCGCCTCAGCCCCGCTTTCCTCTTCCTCCCCCTCCCACAGCGACCAACCGTCATCTACAGCAAAGGATGAGTAAAACGCCCCCTTGATGTGCAGCAGCGGCCCGTCACTCGCACAGTTGCGCAGGTACGACGGGAGGAAGAACCCCTCGGGCCCGCAAAGAATGGCCTGCCGTGCGAACCGCACCACTCGAAGCGATGGGAGGTCATCTATCGTCTTGACGACGGCCCCCTCGCCCAGCTGCTGTGCCTTGCCCATGTCGATGGACCGCACCGATGGGAAGATGCGGCCGAGATTGAAAAGCAGTGGCTGTAGGAGGGGGTGGTCGGTGTCCCTGGCCTTTTGAAGGGTGAGGGTGCGGGCTGAGCTGAAGAGCAGCTTGGGCAGGAGGCGGTAGAAGGCCGGGATGATGACATTGTCCTGTGCGAGGCTGGTGGGGAAGGTCACCGATGTGGCGAGGGAGGCAGCCAGGGCGAGGGTGGACGACTCGAATGCGGGCGTCTCGCTGTCGTAGATGTTGCGGATGATGATGTCGGGGTTGGTGGGCCAGAGGAGGGTGAAGGGGAAAATGAATGCGCTGCTGCTGTAGTCCTCCTTGCCGCCAGGGCTCACACGGTACTTGTGGACCTTATGCAGCGACTGCGACACAGCAGGCAACAGACAGGATGTGTCGCGAGTGGCCACTCGCTTTCTGTGCGTGCATTGGTCACTCACCGACATGATTCTTGGCGTGATCTTTTTTGCCTTGATGGTGGCCTCGATGCACTCGAGCGACCTTCTCGGCTCATCATTGTCCTCGTCGATCCAGCCGTCCAGGTCGGGCTGTTCCTCTGTGATGGCGATGCTCCTCACAATCTTGACCTGCGCGGACTCGATGATGAGGCCCATCGCCTCACGCGCATCCCACGCGAATGGGGGCGACAGGAGGATGATGGGCACGCTCCTGCGCCAGGACAGCCAGAGCTGCCCGTAGCGACTGTTGGGTTCGAATTCGTGGTTGTGGGCGATCCTCTCCTGCATGCTCTGCTTGCGCAGCTTACACTCGAGCGACCTGTGGCGCGCACACACACAAGAGGGAGTGTTCGGTCGGTGCCAGGTGGCGGGCTGACTGCACTGGCTGAATTGTGTTTTGTAAGACCCCACCGTAGGTCCCAGTAGCGCTGCATCGGTAACCCACCCTCACCGCCCGCCCACTGCTACTGTCTTCAACCGGGGGAATGCCGTCCGCTCTTCGCTCTCCAGATCCAAAAGATCTATCTCGTGTGGCTCTGTCGACGTGCTGTCCGCCTCCAAATGCTCGAGAGTCTCGTTAATGGCCTCCAGCAGCTTCACCATGCCCATGTTCATCCGACAGCTGAGCACCGCCCAAGACGTCTTGGCCAGCCGGGGCACCCATGCCTCCAGTTGCTTGTCGGTGGGGTGGATGGCGTGGTCGGCGGTGAAGGTGATGGTTGTGTGCATGTCGGGGTCGTGGGAGGGCACCAGGAAGGACGAGTGGGCACGTGCCAGGCCCCCGATGACGGACTCGGTGCCGATGAGAGGGCCGAGTCGGTCAAACAGCAACGCGGGAGGGAGGGAGAGCAGCGACGGGTCCAACGACTGAACACCACACACCAAACACACACACCAGACATGATGTGCATGCGCCACCTCTTTCTCTCTGTGTGTGCTCCTGCCTTTCTGTTTCTACTCACTTTTAGACGTAGGTTGTGCGCCATTGCGGTGAGTTTCTGCCTTGCGATGGTGATGCGGACGGGCCTGCGTGTCGGGGTGCGAGTTCATGGCCTCTATCTTGAACAGCAACGCCTTGAATCTCTCATAATCCAAACACACCATCTGCACATACAAACATACGCATGTACGTACGCAGGCAATATCTTGTCGGTACCGATTGATCATTTGACTGACCAATGCGCTGGTACTCTATTCTGCAGTGATTGAATAGACGATTCAAACACATGATTGAGTCGGTTATTTCTCGGCTGTTTCTCCTCCTTTTCGGATGAGGGAGCGTGTATCGGACTACACCCAACCCCCCCAGCCACCCTCATCCCGCGAGACGACGGCGGGCCCCCCTGTTGCGCATGCGACGCGAAAGGGACGTCTGCGCTGTCCACATGCAGCCGAAAGTGTGACTGCCGGAAGCACAAGCGCCTCTGCACTGTGTCAATTGCAAGCGCGGCACGTGCACGAATGTTGCGTATCCCGCGGACCCGGCCGTTTGCAATGATGATGATGAAGGATCGGATGCCGTCTCCCCCTCTGCTGACCCTGCCGTGCCCTCCACGGCTTCCTTTGTCGATGAGAAGATGCGCGAGGCCTTCGGCGAGCCCCTCGTCAACT